CGATATAAAGGCCCTTATCGGCTCAGGGGACACCCTGAGGGAGTTGGGGGCTGAGGGGGGGGGGGGCGAACACGTAACCCCCATGCCCCCCCCCCCCTCCCACCTCGCCTGCCTGCGCTTCTGATCCCATTGGATTTGCATTGGCTTAGAGGGCAGGCCATAGGCAGAGTGAAGGAAGCGATTGAGCAAATTTGACGGTGTGTTTGAAATGGATCGCTCAAACCGTTTGCAAACCTAACCAACCAGCACAGCGAAACGTTTTGGGGCTTGCCATACCATGAGCTTGCCGTGGGGTGTCAGTGTCGTATTGTGGTGCTCAGTGTGTCGCTTGAGCCTCACCGAGAGAAAAACAAGTTTGAAATCCGTCAGCATGTGAGAAGGAGGATGGTTGCTCTGTCCCGGCAGCATGCACAATGTGGCTATGAACGCTGAACGGTGTGGCTATGAACGGTTTTAAGGTGAATTTTGGAACTACAAACGGAATTAAATATCTGTACATGTGATCGAGCCGTGGTCTTACCTGAATGCTGCTTTTGGAATTGGCCACAGACGACGCACTTGGGTGCGATCAACTGTTGGCGTGTCATGAATTACTGATTATTTTGGACGCACTGAAATTATTCTAGAGGGCGGCGCTTTACGGCGTGAGCTGTTGCTGAGCAGCCTAGTTGGGCACTTCGTGTTGCATGGTTTATTAATGCAAGCCAACAGCTATTTGACTACAATACCTCGCGCACTCTCCTCTGGTTGTCGTGTTGCTGCGAATAAGGTAGATTTACACAAAATTAAGAGCATTCCATTGTTTAATTCAGCCTTTACAGTATGTCTGCTGCATTTACAGCCAACGACACGCATCAATCGTCAGACGTCATGGAAGCTTGGACTTTCGAACGGAAAGTACCATGGATGTTTTGTGTTATTGTCAAGCTCTGGCTGTGCAGGATAACATTGCATGGCTGCATTTCAACCGAGGATGACGCACATTTGGATCTGCTTGGATCTGTTTTAGATAGTATTCGAATATTTCATATTGGGATCTCATCAGGTGGTGTTGTCCCATGCCAACTGATCGGACTCATACTGACATGAGATTCAGTATGTCAAGGGGTTTTTGTCTTTTCGGTTTTTCAAAAGAAAAAATATCCGTAAACCTTTCAAACAAGGCATTGATATTGGCAGCAATGGCAAGGGCATTTGAGGCTTGTAACGATGTTAATTCAATGAAATAATTTGTATTATCCCTGACACCATACAGGTGCAGACACAGCTCTTTTAGGGGAGAAATGGCACCAACCATCGGGACGGAGCTGACGTACTGCAGTACGTACTGCAATTAATTGTGCATTCGAGACAAACCAAAACTTTATAAAAAATCATACTTCGATTGTCCGTAAGTCGTAGGTTTTTCGTTTTGTGACAAATTTCTTTCCTTTACCGGCGACAAGTAACATCACAGCGACGGAAAAATAAGGACACGTATTCCCTTTAGTATAGAAATGACGCGAGTGTGTGGACTTGCCCTCGTTATGAACCAGAAAGGTCTCGAGCTCCGTTGTCAAACACTCGAAGAACGCTGGGGGTACATCAGTATAGAAATCTTGCAAGAATACGGTCTAACCTCACCGCTTTCTGAGCAAGTAATAAGAAGCATTATCTCATTTGATTCGGCTTGGACAATACAATGCGAATTGTGTCACCTCATTTAGTAGCAATGGCATTAAATGCAGCTGCAATTGGGGCATTGCAAGATGAACCTTTGTGAGGGCTAGAAATGTACCAGTGAGGGGTTTATCATATTGAAGCAATGAAGGAGTATAAAACTTTGTTTATTATTGTGACTTGCAGGAAGTACCAAAAAATTTGCTGACTTGTGTCTGTTTTTTTGTCTGTTATCTTCGCTGGTGAAGAGCTCAGGCTGTACAGTTGAGACAATAAAATGCTTTAAAAGTCATACCTCAAGTGTCAAGCTTCAAAACATCGTAAGATCACGTTGTTGCGTCATCATTAAATGAGTACATATACCTCTTCTTTAAGGTTGACTGTGCAAGTAAAGCTGTTTTAAATTCGAACCATCTGTACTTGGCTTTAGCCCACTTCATGAAATTTTACTAAATCAAACATCGACCATCGGCAGTAGATAATGATCAATGCACGTAGCACATGCTTCCAGTATGGGAGGTGTTTCCTACAAGCTGTTTTGATTTTTTATGTTGGTTTTCTTGTTTCCTTTAAACCATGTTCACTGTCTTGAAATCGACACCTCTTTGGTTGTTTTTTTTTCATTGGGTAACCTTCATCATGTTGCAAATGTTGCGGATCGCTGTCAGGAGACCTCAGTGTGATACCACAATTTGCATTAACCTAAATTGTGTTTTAGTCAGTAACGTTGCAATATGCCTTGGAATCGAATCAAATGTACATGCATTTTTATAACAGTCCCCCTTTGCCTTAGGGTCTACTCAGTTTATGAGGTTCCCAAATTATGTAGTAATGGCTAAGACTGGCAGTAAGTGATAACCAGTTAGATTAAGTTGCTGTTACCTTGCAAGCCGGCTAAGGGCTTGGTCGCATGTGTTTAGCTTTTGTAAATTGTATTGTATTTTGTAAATAAAAATCAAGAAGGTGTTACTTGGTCCTGGAAACATGTTACACAACAGATTAAATACGTTACATTCATGTCAGATTTCAAATATGACTATGCTGCGAGCTTGCCATCATTCAGTCTAGCAAATCAGATGCTATTTGACAAAAACAGCGCATTAAGTTAATCTGATGACCATTCCTTGTTGTAGTCCCAATAGCCCTGACACCTTACACCTTAACCGGACATTGGCTACAGCTAGCATCAAACAGTTATCAACGAAATCGTATCCATAAGACTAAGGTCAGCAGTATAGAACTGATGCAGTGATTTCTGATGCGTCAATGCATTGATACTTATGATGTAGTTGTCCTCCATTTCTGCCATTTTTTCTTGCCCCTGCAGGCGAAGAATTCCGAATGCACGGCCCATGATAAAATGCAGCATACGTTATGCTAAAGAGGCTTAAAACATTAACATATGATCATTGTATTTCTGCCCAAATAGGTAAAAGCATCAATTAGATTGTAGGAAAATATCAGATGGGGTGTTACCGTTACCTTATTTGGATTTGTGCACAAACATTTCACGATAGTTCACATGACGCGCGAGTTTTCAGAAAACAAGTAGCTCTAGCTAAAAATTTGGTAATATGACGTGCATGACGACGCCTTATGAACATTTACACCGATTTTTTTTGCAAATGAACCCAATACAAATTCCCGAAGCCTTTGGCTATACGTGAGTGGCCACCAGCATTACCAGAAACGTTAAGTGCACATACATTCACCGATTTTCATACATATCTGAGACGCTTCCTTAGGCAACACAAATATGAAATGAGCAAATTTCGTTGACCTAAGGTCAGGTATGAAGGCCAGACCAAGTTAAAAATCAGGCTGTTGTATTACTTCGGGGCTAGCTGTAAGGGATAGTTTCCGGTGCTCATTTCGAATTCATTGGTAGCAGGAACCGCATTGTGTATCTTCCATGGACTTGTTGGAGGTCAGAAGAGGTCATTGACCTAAAATGACCAACGTCGAAGTTTTGTTTTAAGAAGCATACTGCTTAGCGTAATCTTTGTCGTGTATTCAAATGCGAAACTCAGAGCGGTCTTGTAAGATTTCGGCCACCATGAAGTTCAAGAGGTCAAACAAGGTAAATGGCCTTAAATGAGCATGTGCCCTTCGCTTAGAAACAGTTATCTAGATTCTGGGAGCACTTTGGAAACCAGCCTGGAATTTGACCTTGTTTGAATTTATTTGATCTAAAAGTCATGGCCTAGGAACCTCAAACTTCGATCCAAGTAACCTCACGTACAGGTCAACACACCCTGTAAATTTGGCATTTCTAGCTTTCTTAGTTCCTGAGATTGACCCTCCACCCGGGCGAAGGATATCCAGCCGGCCACCCGGGCGCGATTCTATGGTCTTTGTACATGTTTGGGGGGGGGGGGGGGGCGTTCTTCTGCGGCGGAGTGCGTGCGCTGCGCTGCTGCCGGGCAGACGCTGGATGTTTTGCGCCGCCGGCTGCTGTTGTCACGCCTCCGCACAAGAACGAATTTTTACTGAGGAGCTCATATGTCAACATACGAGCCAGATGATGTTAGCGCACGACTCGGCACGTTATGACCCCGGTATACTCGGCATCAGCATACACTCATGCGAACCACAGAGCTAGGATGAAGCAAGCGACCAGGACATTGGTGGGATGGTTCGTCCAATCAGGGACCATGAGCGGCTATTTCCCGCACCTGGTTGTGCGTCCTTAACCACGGTATCCCAACTCCGCCTTTTTAGCCGATGATAATGATAGATGATGATGATATTTAAACGGGACAAAAACGGAGCCAAATGTATTGATGATACCCCAAATTAGCAGACATCCCACTTAACCCGCGAATTACGTCGACAAGGGCCCACTGGACGTGCGAACGGAAGCCCCCGCCAGGTGCACTTCGGCACGCTCATGGCTGGCACGTGTAAGCTGCCCCGGACAAACGTGATGTTGCAAGGAGGGAGGACAGCCAGAACGTGGATAGAAAGGCGGATGACAGTGTGAAGACTGCCGGTGTACGCTGACACACGAGTCATTATCACTCCGGACGGGCAGATTTCTAGATTTCTGGCGCACAGACTATTGGAGGATTATCCGCAAGCCTGCGGACTACCAAAGCTCAGTGGGGCAACGGCCACACGCTTGCTGCTAACGAGTTTGAAAAGGCAACTTTCGAGGCCAGGTCTGCGTAGTTGAGCCTCCACGCAATAGATGGCAGCACTATTGACACAGTTACTGGCCGAGCGCTTGGAAGCTATTTCATCACAGCAAGCATGGTTGTCGTGCCGTACCGACTGCGGCCAGCACACCATCTTCAAAAGCACACATCTCGGCGTCAGTCAAACACAAGCCTCCCGCCAGTGTTGGTGTATTAGAGTGTACCACCCGGGGACTGCAGGAGCCGGGATTGCCAGCACGTGGAGGCGGCCGCAGCGTCGGGCAGAGCAGGCAAACAGCGGTGACGAGGTGGGGCCACGAGCTAACACCGGCACCGCAGCCTCCAGCCGCACGGCCGCGCGCTCACCTGGCGGGCCACGGGCCAGGGCCCGACTAAGCTGGAACAGCTGGGCGAACTGGAGCCCGCAAAACGTGGCCAGGGATGACTGCACATGTCACAATGCATTCCGTGTCAGATCCTGCACATTTAAGACTATAGATACAGATAACACGGACACGGGTGGCGCGGTGAGACGAACAGATGCCCAGGAAATGAAACGATGCGTGTCATTGATATTATATATGTCCCTAGCAGATGACACCTGGCATGTCAAGATGACTCGATGCGACCGCAATGCCGGCAATGGCTCCGCAAATCAGAGCTTTGCACCCACGGGAGGTATTGTGTGCTACGTGTGAGCGATTCGTTTTGATTATCAATCACCATGAAAGCGAATGACACCAGGAGTCACGGAACATCCGTCGAAACAATTAGCAAACAGAGGCGGTACTCAAACGACCGCTCGGGACCGCCTGAGACATCGAGATCACTGCATTTATCGCATCAAAGACGCGGCAGGAGGCTTCCCGTTCCGGGGAAGTGAAGTACTTCCATAGAGCACCTCACCTTTGAATTGTCGCACACGATTGTCCCAATTGTCCCTCCACGAACACATGTTCTTTTAAAAACAGCGGGCTGGTTTCTCAACCCCGGGGTCCAACTTGAGTTTTAGCAAATGCGTCGCCTTTTTTATTCCTGGCTTCGCCCACAGCGCGTGAGAACGTTTGTGTGCACACTCGCGATATCACTCTAGCGCAGCGAGGGCAGGACGGGCCAGCGCACTAAATATCGATGGTCGAGTGAGGCGTGTTTAAGTTCTCTGAACACGTAATTGCAAACTGAATAGTAACTATTGGAACCGGCTCAACTAAAAACAAACACCGTACAGCATGTGATGTTATGAGAAACTGCGGTAGCAAGAGCGTCCGTAACAAGACATTCCTCCTCAACATGATATTGGTATCATAAACGAAATCAAATCAGGAGCAGGAAAATGAATACCCTTGGGAGTACGGTCGCAAATAATGCAATAAGAGGAGCTCTTCGTTCAGCAGGCCAAAGAATGATGCCAGCCGCTGGGGAGCGAGACCGTTTCTAGCCGCAATACGCAGCCGGCCGGCCGAGAGCGGAGATGACCGGCCGCTATTTCCGAGACGAGCTGACGTCTGCAGTGCAGTTCATACCCAACGACGCCGTGCTGGTGCGAAAAACACGAAGTGCCGTGTCGCTCACCAACGGAGGCCACATTGACCGTGGGCCTTGTTGCCTGGCAGCGACCCTCTAGGAGTCCAGAGCCAGGCGGTAACATTGACATGCCCCAAAACACTCGTGATGAAATGCGAACAACAAATCGGTGATTCTCCGCATCACAGTCGCACATTACTCAAAGTCTGCGACCCCCTCGCAACCAGATCGTTAATTACATGAAATCAACTATGCACACAGTACCAGGTACGCATTTTCACGAATCCGACATCAATGCATGTCAAGATGTTATGACGCATCTAAAAATTTACGCCTTATGCAGATGCACTGTTTAAGTCTCTGAAGAGGGTGGCACAAGAAGAAAACAAAATACTAAATAAGGCAAAATGTCGCTGGCCACTACGCGTATGAGATTTCAGGGAGCTAAATACGTTTCCATGGAGTCGTCCTGCTAGTTGCCTTTGAAGGTTCTTCTATATTTCAAACAGTTCGTCTATATTTGTTTAACAGTTTGCCATTTTTAACCACTAAGAAAAAATCAAACCATTGAACATCGTCTTGTTTGGGTTAAAATGTCTGAATGTGGGCATAACAGGTTTAACTCCTTGTTATGGAGCTGCAGCGACCGCTGGGCCATGGTGGCGATAAGGGACCACGGCGTTACATCAATGTGAACCCGAGCTCAAACGGAGGAGCCAAAAATGATAACTACTCGGCTGCTGCGCCCGGCGAAGCACGCGATTTTGAAAATGCTCATCGAATTCTTTTTGGACATTCTATGGTGCCTCATTAAGCAAGCCATGTCAACACACTCAGTGACAAAAGAAAAAAGATATTGCTACCACCCGCTATGGACCACTGCACGCGGTGCCGTGCCGGGCTCTGTCATGTTCTCAGTGCCGCGACCTTCACTGCATGTGACACACCCCGCTCTCCCGCCGCCGCAGCGTTCCATTCTTCCGTTTGGAACCGCCGACCTGGATCTTCTGGTTCGGCGGCGGGCACGGGTCGAACGGCGTGCACACGAAGAACGTCTCCATCAGGCCCTTCCCCTTGATCTCCGTCGGGCCGCGTGGCTCCAGGATGAACTCGTTGCTCTTCTCCGCTTCTAGCTTCCTGAAGGAGCGAATGGTCAGGACGCGCTATTGGTTCCAGTAAACCTTCTCAGCGGACGTGAGCCGCATTTGGTGGGCGTTTGTACGGCATGAGCGCATACGGTCAGAACTATTAATGGCTTATCGCCGCCACGTCCAACTTTAATGAAGTCCAACTGACAGCAGCTAGCTTTACGGCTGTCTGGCCTGCCCGGCATGGCAAGGTGCCCTCCTGCCGCATGTCACCGGCCATACCAGGCTTCGAGGTGAGATGCAGCCTATCACGAATGGCCTCACAAACGTAATTTGACGCAGCGGCGAGGGACATGTATTTTGCTGCTCCGACATGCAGGGGTCTCGTTACTATTCCGGCTGCCATCGTCTGTATTACTAGAGCAAAGTACATCTGGTGAGGCGAATGTGCACACAACCAAGCGGTGTCTAGGTCGATACGCAAATTGTCAGCCAATGAAAATTCAAAACAAAGACAAAAAACAGCAAACGGCAGGTGCACCGCGATCACCCACGTCTACGGCAATAACTAAGACACGTGCGAACCACCCAAAGAAACAGCTGTGTGCAGCCAGCGGGAACAGTCGAACGGGGGCCACGCACCGTTTACAGTTGGCGCTGATGTGGATGCGACCGGGCACGCCGTGCGACTCCATCCGGCTGGCCACGTTCACCGTGTCACCGAACAGGCAGTAGCGGGGCATCTTCTGGCCCACCACGCCGGCCACGGCCGGGCCCGTGTGCACGCCCACCCGGATCTGCCGGCGGGCAGCGGACGGCCAGGTCACGGCAGGCGCCGCCGGTCGCCGCCGAACACAGCCGGCCGGCGGGGTGCCCGGCGACGCCCATATTGCAGGCCGGATTCCAGAAGCGTCGAGCGGTGGCAGCTGTTCTAAGAGAATCAGTCGCGTGGCACAGGTGAAAAGGCCGTGATCAATCACGTGAGACGCAGTCCGGCAGTCCCAATTTGTATTAGGCCTCAAACTCTGCAAGGAATGCAGATGTTACTCACGTTGAAATATATTTGTGCTTTATATCAGGATCTGTTGCGGTAAAGTGACTGCCATCCTTAAATTGCAGGCATTAGCACTTATTGCTCACAGAGCCTAGAACAAAAAACTAAGTTCAGAATGGGCTACCATGCTGCCTGGGAGCAATATCCACGTAACGGCACGAACATTGCACGCACAGCATTGACAAAAATGTGATTGAAGGCCTCAAATGAAAAATACGCAGCGGTACCAACCGAAAGCATGGCACAAACAGTCCTGTTGAAAAGTCGGATAAATCACGGGTGAATAATCGGTGTCGAGAGACAAGACCGCGCATCGGCAATTTAAAAAGGTGGTGATGACAAGTCAGGACTCTCACAGACTCCTAACGCTCCTGGGGTATCTCATCTGAGATGAGAGCCCAGGGAAATAAGTCGAGCGGCCCGCTAGCAAGGCTGTTTGTTCGTCCGAGCAAATAGCCAAAAAATGTTCTGTGAAGAGCGCCAAACATATTAAAAAGACTTTAACCGGCTTTGCTGCAGTGATGTGGTAGTCACCAAAGGCGCATCTCGAACGTTGTTTGGGTAGAAATGGAGGTGAGAGCGTCAACTTAAGGGGCCCATGTCCAAAAAGTATCTTTATTAAAGAAAATCCGGACCTTCTTTCCTTTTATTTCAAGGAGTGTTCAAATACATACTGCTGCTAGAACAAGCCGCTTATATTTTTTCAAGGTCCAGAAACGTGTTATGCTTCGCTTGACTGACCGTCTTGAGGAGGGCATGACCCACTTTCACGCTAGATCAGTCCCTGGTCATCACTAACCTGGGTCGACCCTCCTGCAGTATATCACTGACCTGGACCGGCTCTCCTGCAGTGTACCGCTGACCTGGACCGGCTCTCCAGTCAAGGGGTGAGCCACCTCGCGTGCCAGTCGGACCATGTCGATTGCCTGGCCTACCACGCGCGTGGCGTGGTCCGGCGCCCGTGTGGGGATCGGCGCAGTGTACCGCTGACCTGGACCGGCTCTCCTGCAGTGTACCGCTGAACTGGGCCAGCTCTCCTGCAGTGTACCGCTGACCTGGACCGGCTCTCCTGCAGTGTACTGCTGACCTGGACCGGCTCTCCTGCAGTGTACCGTTGACCTGGATCGGCTCTCCCGCAGTTTACCACTGACCTGGACCGGTTCTCCAGTCAAGGGGTGAGCCACCTCGCGTGCCAGTCGGACCATGTCGATTGCCTGGCCTACCACGCGCGTGGCGTGGTCCGGCGCCCGTGTGGGGATCCCGCCCACCACCATGTACGCGTCGCCGATCGTCTCCACCTGCGGACGCAGCGTCGCCGACTCAGGCGTGTAGCGGACTGATGTCCGGTACGGAAGGTCACGAGTTCAAACCCCGCCAGCGACTGATGCAGCGAGGTTTTTCCAAAGAAAACCTGTGAAAAGCCGTCCATCAGCCTTAGACCTTGCTGGGTTCAACTGCTGGTTTCGCACATCACTAGGTGGTAGTTAATTTAATACCTGCTGACATCTGCATGCTTCTAAGAACACAAGCGATCACAGTCTGACGATCCAGATGTGGAATTTATTGGTTTCGAAGAATGCTGAATATTGCTTATCTGCACTTACAACCAGGAACAGTGCCACCCCACCAGCCTTCAAGCGTCCTATGTGTCACGAGGAGGAAACAAATGACTGAGACAAAAGTGCAACATTACACGCTTATTTACTGTCCAGTGCAAACAAGTGAAGCTGGGAGCACTTCTTGTAGATTCCATTCAAGCGTCGGAAACAAATCCAGCTTTCGCAAGCCAGTGTTCACAATTCGTTTCCAAATTATATGTTAGGATCATGCTGTGACGATACTTGGGATTTGTGGCTGGGGACCAATTAAAAGTCTTCGCGTGTCAAGTCAAGTCAGAGCCTCAGAGCCAAGATCTTCCGGCCTGACGAACGCTTGCTCCGACGAACTTTTGTCCTTATGAACTTGTTTCCTGACAATCTTTTGGATGCGAACATTTTCCCTACTGAACTGTGTCAATGCAAACATTTCCATGCGCACCTTATACCACACGCACATTTTTTACGAACAATTACGCACATGTTTTAAGCATACCTATTTTTCCATACACAATTACGCCATAAAACCAGGTCGAGATGCTGCAGGGTTCAAACATACGTGAGCACTTAAACTAAAAAAATGACAAAACTGTCGTGAAAGATATTTGCACATATATTGCTGGTCAAAGCAGAGTTAACAACGTTTGGTAGCCATCAAAACAGACCGATCTGTGTCGGGGTGCGGCGGGCGTGAGGTATGACGAACAGAGTTCGGGTACGAACCAATCGAGGCTACGCACGCGAGGCAAAACAACTGACAAGATCTGAGGATAGTCACTCTTGGAAGATGCTTCTCAGAAAGAGGCTATCTATTGAGAAATAGAGAGAGAGAGAGAGAGTAGAGAGAGAAGAGAGAGAGAGAGAGGAGAGAGAGAGAGAGAGAGAGAGAGAGAGAGATAGAGAGAGAGAGAGAGAGAGAGAGAGAGAGAAGGAGAGAGAGAGAGAGAGAGAGAGAGAGAGAGAGAGAGAGAGAGAGAAAGAAAGAGAGAGAGAGAGAGAAGGGGAGGGAGAGAGAGAGAGAGAGAGAGAGAGAGAGAGGGAGAGAGAGAGAGAGAGAGAGAGAGAGAGAGAGAGAGAGAGAGAGAGAGAGAGAGAGAGAGAGAGAGAGAGAGAGAGATAGCCTCTGAGAAAGAGGCTATCTATCTACTCGCATATTGAAAGATATGCGAGTAACTAAGCAGATAAGAAACCCATGATGCACTTGATTGACCTACACTGTGTGGGGAGCGGTCAATATTGAAATCTACCCCGTTTGCATAAAAACGCAGCTATAACAACCCTTCCGTCAAATTTTGATACGTTGGTATCACTTTCGAAAGACCGATTGAGGAAGCCAAAAGCTCCATTTCACATATTTTGCTGGAGACATATGGAGCGAAGGTTAGCAGGCAAGGTTAGTAGGCATACCCTCCTAATTTCACAGATCATCCAGTTCTGTTGCATCGGTGAAATCGCGTGAGCTGCTAAGTGCATTTGCGAGGAACATTACTGACGTAAATAAGGCGCTAGTAATGACCTTATTCCTCAGAGGAAAACCAGAAGAATAAAGATATAGATGCGTTGATATTTCGGCAACATGTCTTTAATCGAGACGAAAAGCAAAAGTTCTTAAGTCCTTTCTGCTAATGGTTTTGATATATGCTTACTGCCAAAATATCCACGCAGCTATGTCTCCATTGTCCTGGTTTTTCTCCGAACAATACGGGCATTACTACTGTCTTATATATTGATGAAATATTTGATTAGGGCGATAGTATATCTTAGAAGCATCATGAACGTTTTATATTTTGTCGAACTTGTCGAATTTTCACGTAATCGGTGTACAGCGGGAAGCTGGATTCAATTTTGAGCAAAATACTGTTAATGCACGGTGAAAGGAGAGCCAACAGTTGTCCTACCGCGTCGACGACACCGCTCTGACGCATAGCGGATAGATACGAGACAAGCCATTGTAATGTAAGTTTTCTCAAATGGTTGGAATAGTTCAGCGCATGGACGAACAGTGCAAGGTTGATACTTTTGACAAAAACAGTTGTTTTTCAAAACAGCTGCGACAGTTGATTGGTCGGTTGCAATAGCATCTGTCTGGTGTTCGTCTGGTATAGCCTCCCATGCAGACTTAAACTTACATTCAGTAAGATGATGCTGCACTAACATCTGCTTGTGGAATGCAAACGGTTGTGGAATGAATATTGACATGGATGAGCGTACAGCACAGGATAGACGTGACGACACAGCCCATGATAGAGCGCACAACACAGAAAAGATGGGGCTACACAGCTCATGACGCAGCTCGCTTCAGTATAGTCCCTTAGGAGGGAAGCAGGGGAGTTAGCCATGCAATTTGTCGCTTTTCTCGGAAAGTGTTGTAATGTCTGTTCGTTCCCGTCTCCTTGGGAAGACACCGCGCCAGAACTCGTAGGGAGATTACACAGCTTGGTGAGGGGAACGGCTGACACGTCAGAGCACTTTGTCGACCGCACGGACAATGACACTGTCAGCTCTGAGCCGGTGTTGTTAAGGCCGACTTTTCTAAAGCGGCTCGCACGACTACCTTGGTGACGCGGTTTGCTCAGCATGTCGACTGGGAGAGCGGCGCATCTTGGAGGTTTCGCACGCAAGGATTCAACAAATTCGTAGCGATTGTATAACTGCACGCAGTAGCGAAAGCCACGTGCTCTTCACTTAGACGAACGTCTCGTGCCGTTACTCGACACGAGAGTCCGCTCGGAATAAAAGAAAAAACGATCGCGATGTGCCTACAGTACATCCTACAGTATGTTTTCCAACTGGAAGTGAGGTATTTCCAGGAGCCTGGAGGGACTCATAAAGATACTGATATTACCGGTTTACTGCCACGAAGTTTGCCATGCTCAAGCAGCCCACAAATACTGCCATAGATACAGCCGCGAGGTACCATGTTAATGCAAGCAGATTATGACCTAGTTCTCGTTCCTCGACCGCCAGAGTTCATGGGAACTCGTCGGCCGACGCCCGTCAACTCTCTTCCGAGTCTAGCGGTCTGGCGGGGGGGGGGGGGGGGGGCGACAGTACACGGACGTATGCAGGGGCAAACTGGAACATACCTTGCCGGAAAGGCAACGTGACAATGAACAGGATATTCGCCTTTTTAGCTTTGACTTCCGGGAGAATCGTGCCGGCTTTGTACTCTGGTTCTCTTCAGAATGTAAAGGTTCTGAGTTCCGTTTGATGGGCCCGCAGTTTTACGTGAATGGGTGGCACACCGGCAGATCCGCGTGAAGCTGCCTAGATAACAGCTAGACGAAATCCATGCTCATCAGTTTTAATAGGTCACCAACAACAAGAATATAATACAGCAACTTTTACAGCTTTTTTTGTTTTAACGTGCCCGAGGTAATTCCACTAACCCAGGTCAGGCCCGAGGTCTAAAACTATCAGCTCGAGGGCCTGCTGTGTGAGGTGGTGTATGGTGCTCATTTGGAGTTGATTTATAACAGGGGCCGCAGCAAACATTTTCCATGAACTTCTTAAGGCCAGAACAGGTCACTGACATAAGACAACGCAGGTCGACCTTTTTTGGGGGGTGGGGAACATACCAACCAGGAAATTTTCTTTTTAAGCCAAACCTTTTGAATGGATAAATTTCTGGCTCACGCTAAGCAGTACTTGGTTGCGTGAGCCCTGACCCCTTCTATCCGATTGCGAAATGACAGGTCAACCGCAAAATTAATTGTCGACGCATTCATGCCTGGCGTTGGTGGCCACGATTTCCAAATATAACGGCCGTCAACTGGCTCTTAATCAATGATACGCTGAGTACGATGACGCAATGAAATAATGGCGTGTTGATAAACATTTCGTTATACAAAGCCGGAATGCAGGTCACTTGCGCCGGCCGCAGGAAAACTGCCATACTGAGCCAGACATGGGCGCCACGCGTAATTGTTCCGGAAAAAAATACGCCGCTGTTGGCAAAAATGTACTGCAAAGCTACCAACTTGCAGCAGCTTTCTTGCTGTGCAATCAGGCAAGCACTGATGTAAACACAAAATCGGAAGGCCTGATAAATACGCCTTAAGCACAGAAGTTCCATGCCTGCAGAAACAGGTGCTGTCGGCATACCAGTAAGAAGACAGCACAAACGCGAGTCAGGGAGCTGCAGAATAACAAAGCTAGCAGTTATTGATTGGCATAACCTCGGCCTTTGACCTCTGTGTTTCAGATAATGTACGGTGGAAGGATCTTTGAGGTTCTTGGGCACAGGCGTAATCACAACTCTGAGAATCGCAGGGATGTTTATCCCTTTAGAGGTGAGACCGGAATCTAGGCGAGACAGCCTAAACCGAAAACTCTATTTGAAATAACAAGCTTTTTAAAAAAGCATTCTACAGGCATTATTGAGGGAAAGCACACAATCACTACGCATGGCACGGCAAGCAGAAGACGGGTGGTGGAGGATAGGTGCCAACAGAACAGAAAAAGACAGATTAGCGCTCGAGGCAGGATGAGAGGGGACAAGGTAGAACAGCGTAGAGGAGAAGATACCACGACGGGCATGATATGACAGAGCAGAATAGCAGTCGTCATTGAGACTTCATGACGCCCTCAGCTACTGAGGTTATATGGCGTCACCAGCCTCTCACCCTGTCGGGAAGGGCGGGCGTCGCAGGGAGTCAAACATCGCACCGCGCCTGGTTTCCCAGACGTGCGGTGGTTTACAC